TTATTAGTCTATTGAGTAATGATGCGCTCCGATAATTAGGGATCAGTCAATTGTTTAGTGCACTCAGATAACAAGTTATCAGTCATTTGTATAATCATGCACTCAGATAACCAGTGATGAGTCAGGTCAGTTGTTTAGTGCACTCAGATCATCAGATGGTCATCAGGTCAGACTGGTTGGCTGGGCAGGCAGTGGAAGGACTAGGTTTGACAAAGGGGTGCGGATCTGCAGGAAGGTGTTGACTGTAGATTATGCTGAGATTTCGCTTGGGGTTCCACAGGGTTTGTGACCTAAGGTGCTTTTTTTTACTGCTTGACGTTTCTTAAATTGGAGGGTCATTCTGGCAAGATTCATTCTCTTGCTCTGAAGAACAAAAAGGCTGCATTTTCAATTGCCTCGCTTAACTCCCCGAGCTTACAGACACTTTATTTAAAAAAAAAACAGACCAGCCGTTCCTGTGGAGATCCTGAAATGACAATTAAAATCTCTTTCCTGGTCCACTCCACTGCTCTTTCTTTAGAACCTGCGGTAACCTTCAGCTGTTAGGCTCTCAGACACGCAGAAGAGATCAGGTATCCAGGGAATGTTTACAGCGCTTCCTCCTCACAGCCCATATACTGTAATGTGCTCTGCAGTTGTTAAAGGTGTGAGGCCCACTGGGGCAGTAAGTCTGAGACCTCTTCTTGCTGTCCCTTTGGACTGGTTTGGAGAATAGATTATTTTATGCCTCAGCAAATTCAATTTTTATTAAAAATACTAGGGATGCACTGATATGGAATTTCTGGGCTGATAACGATAACCGGTAATTAACAGCTTGTTGTGGCCGATACAGAGACCGATAACCGATTAATTTAACTTTTTTGCATTTTAAAACCAAGTTCTTTGTTTCCTCCTTGCTGTACTTCGGCTGAACATTTTTTTGCAAATTGCAGTTCTGTTGTCCTCTGGTGAAATGGTGAAGAAGTTCCACACTGCCGACATTTTCACTCTGCAGCAGCTGTACTGTCCCCAGGCTAGTGCATCAGTGCATGCACATAACAAAACTAGTTGCGCAAACAAAAATACGGCGCCGCATTATCGGTTGTAATTATCGGATTTAATTCCGATATCGGAACGATAATTAAATCTTCCTATTTATCATGGAATAATATATCGGCCTCGATATGCACCCCTTAAATCTGAATTAACAAAACACCTGGTTAAATAATGTACCTTATGGAATATAAAGAACTATAGAGGTTGTCTTTTTCAAATAGTATTTTTATTGTCGTGTTATGCATCGTTATTTCTTATGCATTTAAGATGAAAGTAATGCATCTAATTAAAAGAAAGTTACAGTTTCGTTTGCCTGCATGAAAACCTTTGGTATTGACTCATACAGCTGCGTTTGCTGCAATACTCTGGGTGCAATACCCATCTCAGGAGTACAGCAGGAACTCAGTGCCCTAAGCACTAGCCAGCACTCCTACCCTTGTGGATGGGAATAAAAATAAAAGGTAGAGGGGCCCAGTGTTTTTAAGGATGCTTCTCAGCATGTTTAGGAGATTGAATGTCATTTGGAGAAACATGAAGAGGCAAACTGGTCCTTCCTATACTAGGGAGAGAGGAGGGAATAATTGATATTGCCATGTGCAGAGTATGTTACAAGCCCTGAGCATTGCAGTTATATGGGATTATAGAGGTTTTAGGTGATTGTGATAGGAGTAAGCTTTCTAACTTACTACTTTTACTGTGTAAAAATGTCCATGTATGGATTGATGCCTTTTTTTGTAAGGTTATAGTTGTTTGTAATGTGAATTTGTACTGTTGATACCTTTTTTGTAAGGCTGTGTGTGTGTGTAACAGAGCTGCTTGAATGCAAAACACATTTCTGAAAAGCCAGACCAGTATTATTGTGTCCTAGCATGCTGCTTATTGCTAAAAACGTATCGAAGCTGCACAGGTGAAGCTGTGCTCGCGGAGGGTATCGTGTTGCTGGCGCGGAAGGGGGCAGGGCGTGCTGATGTTTTTGATCTGCCCCAGGAGGGTCATTGATGGACACAGCAGGTGGGTCCCTTGACACCCAGCCCCCCCCAGTCTGGGGTCACACAGGGACCACGGCCTGACAAGGTGCTGACAGCAGAGGGGGCCTCTGCACATGGTGTTGTAAGAGCGCAGGGAAGTGCAGCAGGAGCAAAACGAATCAATCAAGGCGTCAGGTCTCGTTACAGGTTGCCTGTGAAACCTCCCTGGTAGCCGTGGCTGTCGGCCGGGGCGCAATGGGGACGGCGCCAGGGCTGCCTGCGGGGCTGCAGAAGTTCACTGGGCAAAAAGACACGCTGTGAAGTTCTGTGCTCTCTGGTCTCGGCCGAATCGCTCAAAGCCAAGCGGGAAGATCTCCAGACGTACTTGGGGCCGAGCAGAGGAAGCGAGACGAGGGGTCTGTTGATCCTCCGAGATGGGCAATCGGCAGTCCCAGCCGTGCTTGGCGACCGGCGGGGGGCTGTGAAGCTGTATTTTCACCGATTTCACAACTGTTTAAATATAATGCCGCTTCCAAGCACAAGGGGAAAACATCATGTTCTGCTTTAAGCTTTTGATTAATAACACCAAATTACATGACAGCATTCAAGTGTGACTCATTTCCTGCCAGTTGAGCAGTGAGGGATTGCAGAGTACTGGCAGGCAGTAAGTAACTCCAGTTGGAATTTGTGCATTTTTCCCATATCAGTGTCTGGATCTCGGGCTATATTTATAACAACATCTTTTCCATTTGTTGTGTGGCCGTCGTTCTGTATTAATGCCAATACACGTTTAAAATCCATTTTCTAAGATGTTTTGTTTCACGTGCACAGTCCTCAGAACTTAAGGCCCACTTAAGGAGAAACCCTCTGGTTAAGAAAACGATCACTTTTTATAGGTTAGCGTCCGTCCTGCTCTTCCCGTTCGGATTCTCCGTTCCAGTGCCCTTCTCACAGTTCCAGTTCCCCATCCAGCAGGCCAGGTGGCTGGGGCTCAGCTCCCAGGTTGGGCCAGTCTCTGGATTTGGCTAGATGGGCTGAATGTGTTCTTCTTTGTCGCAGACATTCCTGTTGGAGCAGGGAATTGGAATGGAATGGGAAGCCAGGACTGTCCCCAGCATTGAGAGCGGTTGATGGTGACGTTTCCAGTCACCACACCTTTAGTCCACACGTTCAGTCAGGTTGGGCTTCACACCCTTCCTCTGAAGACAGACACAAATCGACCAATAATTGTTTGCTAAATGGAAGATCGTACCAAGTGATAATTAAGACAAAATATATTATGTGAGATCAAAACTTGAATATTTTGTATTTCCATCAAATAGTCATACCAGCCGATTCTCAATACTGACTACTAGCAAAGAGTCCAGGAAAATTAGGGAAATGTATGAATTTTTGGAGGGCAAGACCAACATTTCCATATTGGTCATTGCAAAATGAGAGAGTTCATTGTTCTCATTATTAATGCAAAAACAATGCTGTGATAACAGCTGTGTAGAATCCAGAAGTGTTCCTGCTGGGATTTCAGCACTCGTGTAGCTCCTCTGCCTCTGTTCGTTTTAGAAGAGGTTTGCACCCCCCTCTGCTGGTGAACTGAAGTATCACAGCTGAATTCCACCGTAATGTGACTTTGGTAATGAAGTAAACACTTATAGAAGAGGTTTATCAGACTTTTTTGCAGTTCATTATCTTTTCAATTAAAGGACTAAGAAGCGCAGCCGAGAAATATATTGGATATTGATGAAAATTCCCTGTTTTTTATGTAAAGAAACTTTCATCTTGACACGGCTTCTATTTTGTTGCAAACAGCAATAGTTAATATTTCATTGCTGTGGTAAAACTGTCAAGGAATTGTTTAACCTGCTGTGGAGCATCCATTGACCTAAGTCATCACACTTCACCTCCAGGAATGGCTTGGATTACATGCGTAACGTGCGAACCTGGTATCTTCTGGCATGTATGACTTCTTTTCCTAGAAACATCTTCTTTTCCCCGAATGACAAAGTGATAAATGAGTGATTAAAAAGTGATAAATGAGGTGATGTATTGAAATCAGCCCAAATTTATGGTGCTGCTTTAATGTCATGCAAAATTCAGGCTTGTCTTGCGTCATCCCATAACATTGTAGTGTTTAGTTGCTGCGACCTTTGGCCTCTGATGATTTACGTGTTTGCGTGTGACCTTTATAGGTCTTTGGGGACGCAACTTTAACATGCCTTATTGCCATTTTCACGGTGTTTTGCACTGATGTGCTGGTGGTAGCTTTGTAAAGCAGGTCTCACATAGGACAATTCCAAATGTTTTGTGCAGTGATCTCGAGTTTCACTATCACTGTCATTTAAAGTGCACAAGTGTATTTATTAACATAATTCACCAAGTAGGGCCAGCATGATCCTTTCTTACTTAATACTCCAAAAAATCTTATCTGTCCCTCACTGGAGTGTCCTACTAAAGACAAAGGAACTGAATAACAGATGTACTCTTTCAAAACGAGCTATTCCCATTATCACTATAATTTAGGTAGATGCATTTAGAGTAGCAAGCACAGCAATTAATAAATTATAGAAGGGAAATCAGTGACACGTGTTTATTTAAGCGGTGTTATGACTCTCGAGTCAGTGGCTGACTCTGCCGGAGCAGGAGGAAGTGAGCGCTTGCTTTGGGACTCACGTCCTGGAATTCCGAACAGGATTAAAGGCCTGTGGGGTTAAGAACTCTGCAGCACCAGTACAGCAAGTTTTAAGAATTGTAACCGTAAAGCCATTGTTAAAAACTCATTTTTTAGATCTCAAGAATTTTATCCTCTCACATAATGAGTGAATGCCTTAGGGGTCAGAGGATTGAAGCCTTCAATGTGTAAAAATAAAACAGGCAATGCAGACCGTGCAGCAGGTGTTTGTCAGTTGAATTTCAGGAACATTTAACTTGCGCTTTCCTTGAAGACTGAGAGACTACAGCTTTAACAAGATAAAGTCAAAAACTCCTTTTAATTTTTGCAGTAAAAGCCATACATTGTTTTCAATATATTACTTATTTTAATAATTAACATTTTATAAAAATAAGTTATTAATCCAAAGATACTCGTACCACGTCCCTCTTGTAAAAAAACAAAGCGGAAACATGCTGCATTAGAAAAGCTTTCCACCCAGACCAGCAGTAGTTCAAACAGACTGGTTTTTTTCCAGCCTGATTACCGCTTAATGATATGATTTGCAGATCAAAAGGAGTTACAAAAAGGAAGAAGGAAAAGCAAGTGAAAATATTTAAATTATAAATTCCACCAGTTTCAGCGGAAGCCGTTTTTTAAAATGCAGCCTGGAGAGGAGGGGCAGGTCCCGCCGACTGTGGGCGGCGCACGCGGCCCGGGCGCAGGCTGGCTTGGCGCTACAATTCCCGCGCTTGTCTGACAGGAATGCTGCCCCCCCTAACCCCCCCCTCGGTACAGCGCCTGGGGGTGCTGGTGGGGGGTGGGGATAAGCCTGGTTTCTGACGTCTTTGACTGACTGGATTGGCAACTTCTCGGTGATCAAACGGCACCTTTTTCACCTCCTGAGATAAGAGGTCTCATTCCAACAGAGGGCCCCGGTAACACAGTCAGGGAAGACGCACCGGAACAGCACACCTTTGTCTTCATCTGCCCTTGGTCTTGTTCGTTCGTTCTCCTCGTGACAGAGGAGACGGTCTACCTCATGCCATTGGCATCTATAGGGACTGTGCACCTTAACCACTGATTTTACTCTAATGACTTTGGTATTAACGATTGTGATAACGTGTTTTTTTACAAAGCGCTTTTCACACCACAGGATCCTAAAGCCCATTGGTGACAAACAGCAGCCGTTGTGCACAAGCAGTCCCACTGCAAGGCAGATCAGGGGCAGGAGTGACAAACTGCTGCACCAGTAGAACCGGGGAGGAATTCGAGAGAGGCCAGATGGTGCAGCCATGAGAGGAGTTCTAGCCAGGCCTCGCAGGTTGACACCCCCACTCTTAAGCATATGAGAATTTCATTGGACTTACACCTACACTTGTACACGTGACAAACGCAACTGAACTTGCAAGCAGTGCCTGGGGATCTTGAAGGGTAATGTAGTCAAGACCCTGACTGAAGAACGTCACCACCAGTAGTGTTAGTTTGGACATTCTGGGCCCCAGGAAAGCCCACCACAACCGGTCCACCTTTTCCTTTTAGTAAAGTTGGAATGGTCATGTATTCCCCCTGTTCCTCGATAGGTGATTGCCCATTGGACTGCGAGGGCTGTGGCCACTGAGCGGAGAATCATTACAGTTTCAGGCAGCTCTTGCCAGGGGTGGCAGGGTTATACCCAGCCCAGTCTTCAGCCCAGCAGCAGCCCCAGAGCGCTGGGGGCTTCTTTTGGGATTACTGGTCTGGAGCCTTGGACTTAAATGCTCAATTTGCACTCTGGATGGGCCTGCTGATTGGTTGCATCTCTGCTGATCCGAATCCTGAACATTTTCTTAATCCATAATAAAGTTATTCAGAGTGCAACGTTTTTCTTCAGTTTAAAGACTTACGTTAAGGCCAGGGACCAAAGATTTGGTTGGAAACCAGTATTTTGATAACTATCTCTGTCTTTACACTGAGTACAACGGCAGCAAGAAGTATATATTTTTTGCTTTTATCTCTGTTCCGATCTGGAATTGTTGTGCTCTACTCATCCGTACAGTCGCTTCAAACAATGCCTGATAAAGATCTGAAAAAAGCTTTAAAAATGCTACAGAGGAAAAAAAAACAGCACTCAGGGTTTTCTGAAATTTCATATCCATCGACTAATGTGTGTGAGCGTGAGGCTGCTGTTCATAGGCTGGGTAAAGAAGAGTTACCAACAACTGCAAAAGCTGATATTCCACTGAACGTTGCAGGAAAGAAACTGTGTTCTAATGTCACATTCTAATGTCACATTCTACAGTCGTCAGGGAGGAAATGTGCTGATGCAAGCCCTAATCTGATCTGCGTCTGTGGAACTCCAGGTAGCTGGACAAGCAGATTTTGTCATCCATGGAATTTTTTTTGTTCAAGTACAATTTAGGTTTTTTTTTTTCTCAGGCCAATTAAAGGATCAGAGTTTAGTTTCAATCCCCTGATCTGCATGCTTCTCATGTTTTCCTGTGGGGTGTTGATGGCTGGTGCTGGTCTTGTAGCTGTTCATTACATGAATGTTGATTCTTTTGCTGTTCCTTTCTGAATGAATGTTTGACTGGGATTGACCCTGCGGGCATCGTCACACGCTTTGTTGTGTTTGCCTCTTGACGTCCATTTTGGAATAATAAGTACTTGATCACCTTGGCTGCAGCAATGCTTCGCCCTTGCCTGTCAGGCCATCCCATCTATTCAGCTCTGTGAGCCCTGGTCCAGCACAGGGAGGTCTAGGACCTCAGAGAGACTGTAGGTTGTGGCTGACTGTGCTTGCTGTAGGTGTCCTGCTGTGCAGTCATTCAGCAAGCTACCAGGCAACAGAGAGGCTGCTGTCACCAGAAGATGACTAAGCCAAGTCCAACTTCAATCCCACCGGACCCTACCCTGCAGGGCCCAGCAGGACGTGTACTGCCACTCAGATCATCCCAGTCAGAGCCTGGCAAATAATGGTTGTAATGCTTCCAGACCACAGAAACTCGGGTTTCACACCAGTCAGGGGTATTTTCTGGAGCCGCCACATGGATGGCCGGTGTTCTTGCTCCTGGTGTTGTCGGGAAGTGTTTGGGAAGGTATGGTAAGCAACGGGCCCTATATTGTGAATCACTTGCCTTGTTCTTGTGCATAGTATTACCTTGTGTGCCCTGACTACTAGCTAAAAGATGAGAAACCCTGACAATCAGTCTGGCAAGAAAAAGGTTGCAACTTCAGTCTTCTGTGATGCTCGGAAAATGCTGCAGCAGAGTTTCCTTTCATCTCAGCCTGGTGTGCAAAGCTCGAGTCGGCTCGTATTTAAATTACTTTCTTAAGTGTAGCTTGTATAAAAAAAGCATCCAAGCCTTGTAACAGATGTTTCTGCAAGGGCAGTCATCTCTTGTTTCACATACGGCGTCCTTGCGTCTGTAGAGAATTTTTAAGATGGGGGGGGGATTCTCTGATCGGTTTTGTGATGCCTCATGTGGAAGGAGCTGCTGCCTTGCCAGGAATCCCTTCATCGCGATAGCCTATCACCTATGGAAGGTGCTTCATAAAATAAAGGTTGCTATCTTGTCCACCACTTAAGCTGCTGGGCAACATGACAGAAGTAAAAAAAAAAAAAACAACAATCTGTAGTGCGCTACAGTGATAAAACGAGGGGGCGGGAAATCGTTTTGGGGCGTCTTCTCCTCAGCTGGGGTAGACGGACCTGCGTCGGAAGCAGCTGCAGGTCAGGCACCTGAGCGCGCTCATGCTGAGGTGGAAGAGCGTGCCGTAGTTGAAGAGCAGGTTGTAGAAGGTGCGGACGGACAGGTTGCCCGACTCGTCCGCGTACTTCATGGCCACCAGCGGGGTGTACAGCGCGTTGGTCTGGCAGCGGAACACCGGGCGGCTCATCTCGATCACCCTCGCCGTGGCCTGGGGAGCCAGCAGAAACACAAACGGCGAACGGTTACGAACCAGGATTTGCGAATCTGTACGTGTGCGTCTCTTTGGAAGATGGGATGGGGATTTGTAGCTTGTTTTTTGGTTTCCCTCTCTCATCTGCTCATCTGGAGAATGTGAGCTGCAGAGATGTATTTTGTAAAAGATTTTCACGTCGGCACCGCCGGGGTGTGAGGCATCACGCCGCAGGGGCCACAATTGTTTCTACCCTTCAAATTATGGGGGCAGGAGGTCAGATTATCTATTTTTTCTCTAGTTTTGGTCATTGAAAGGTGTATCTGAAAACCCAAGGACTGAAGTTGCCCAGCCTTTGGTTTAAAGGTTAGATTTCTAAAGAATGGAGGCTGGAGTAATGGCATGACTTGGCAGTGGTTTTGATGACTAGATCATAGTTGTGTTCATCTTCTGTGTGTCAGCACCTCCCCCTAGTGGCTGAAATGTGAGATGACGGGAGAGAGTTTCACAAGGGTGTAGCTTGTCACTGACGTGCTGACCTTAGCCACAGTGTCAGGGCTTTGCCCCAGGGTGACAAAGATCTCGTGAGAGGCCGGCAAGTAGACGTTTTTGAAATAGTGTACAGTGTCGGCATCTGCCCCTGGGAACTCGGACTTCCCCACTTCTTCCATGAGCTTCATCTCAAACTCTGTGTTGACGGGGCCTGGCTCGATCAGAGACACACTGTAGAGAGAGAGAGATAGATAGATAAGAGTCATCTCACACTCCCAGGTTCACAGGGCCTGGGTTGTTCCGAGACGTGAGGGAGGGAGAAGGTGAAAGGAGTAGGAGAAGAAAAGACCAAACCGAGCGGACAGCGAGACAGCGGTTCTGACTGGGCCTGGCTTGAGCTGAAGGAAGAAAGGGGAAATGAGAGGAGCTGCCGATGGTTCCGACGGACACTGGAGAGCACAGCAGTATCTTCTGCCTGCCAGGCTGCACTCCTTTTACTGGTTATTGGTAAACCAAGGACACCCTAATGGGGAAAAGGGATGGCTAAGACAGCAGGCTGTTCAAAAGCTGACAGAACAGTCCCTTTAGTTCACTTGTCCAGTTCATGACATGTGAGTGTTTTTGCCTCCCCTGTGACTCACCTTGTAAAGGTCTTCACTTGAGCGCAGGTGGAGCTCCGGGATCGCGGGTTCGAGTCTGGTTTGTGTTACTAGCCAACTGACTGGGATTTCCCAAGATGCAGTGCATAACTGGCTGTGTGCCTCAGGGAACAGGGTGGGATTAAGCCGACAGAGCCCTGGGTGACGTCGGAGAGAAAGTGAGCTCCAGTTAGCTCTGAAGCTCCGGTACGGGGCAGTGTTGCCTGTGACATGCTAATGGACGAGTGGGCTGAACGTCAGCGGGTCAGAGGAGTCTCAACGTACTCATCCTCCCCTGTGCACAGTCCCAGGGCTCATAGCTGAGAGCCACGATGTGAGAAACACAATTAAAGTGTCATTAATAAACCGAAAGATTTAAAGTACATCGTAGCCCAGCCTTAGAAGCTTTGCTTAAATTAGAAATGATAGAATTGCAGACTTGTGTGTGTGTGCACTCTCCATTCGCATTCACTTACTTGATGTTGAATTTCAGCAGCTGGACTGCCAGGCTTTCGCAGAATCCCTCCATGGCGAACTTTGAGGCGGAGTAAATGTCATTGAAAACAATACCTGCACCAGGCAGACAGGAGAGAGTTCGTCACAGCATGTGCATGGCCGAAGGAGTACTCATTTTGGTAGAAGCCCTGTTAGAGAGAATGTCATCTCCTTCCAGTCCAGCACAGATGACTTTGGAGCTTTTACGTATGTGCAGTTCTGCCCACTTGTTAACAAGGGGTCCTGTCACAACTGGATAGGCATTTTTGCCAACAACTTCTGTGCCGGGAGACGTGCGTTTTGTGCATCCAAATGTACCGTACAGGTCATAGTGCACAAGTGCAATTTAAAGAGTCAGGGCTAGCTGACTTGGTGCCCCAGGTCTTTTGTGTTCCCCTGATGGCAGCCATGCACAGTTTAATAGCTACAGAAGGGTAATGGAACAAATGACATTAAATCTGGGCTTTTAGCGTCTTGGGAAGACCTGGAGCTTTTAGTGATGAGAGTTGAGTATAGTTTTTTCGGGGGGACTCGGTGTGTCGATATACCTTGCAGCCCCATCACGCTGCTCATCACCACGATGTGGCCACTCTTCCGCCTCTTCATGTCCGGCAGCACAGCCTTGATCATGCGCACGGCGCCGAAGAAGTTGGTCTCGAACACCTTCTGCATCTCCGGCATGCCCAGGCTCTCGATGGGACCGATCTGCCCTATTCCAGCGTTGTTGACTGCGAAGCACAGAGGTGGGGGTGGGGGGGGACGGTGGACAGAAAAATGTAGCGCAGTGCAACAGGCAATTTCAGCTTAGTCCATCAGGACAGTTTGATTTCCCAGAGTAGTTTCTCCTGGTGAGCAGCCCATTAAGAAAGAACTTCAGAAGGTCAGGTTAAAGATGGTTAACATCCAGATCTGTTGTTTTTAAATGAACAGCTTTGAGGTACTGTATAGCTGGGATTCCTGACTTCCTGACCACAATCTGGTCCTGTTTTCTATTCCTCTATCACCAGCAACGGCAGGCTGTGGAAAATGTGGTACGAGTTAGACCTTATTTGAATCATTTAACCTTTCTACAAAGTGTATAGCTGTTTATAATTTAAGCAAGTAAAGACAACTTGCTGGGTTCTGGCCCCCTGAGGGCCAGAGTTGAGAATCCCCAGAGACAGATTGTGCTAGTATGACACAACACTTGGCACAAAGGGGAGCAGACTCAAACACGCCGCTGTCTGGTTTAACTTGGCCTTGTATGCCACAGGACTGTGAAAGTATTGCTGGGAAGCCAGACAGCTCTTTGGTGTTCAGGGGAGGTGGTGTTGTTATTGGCAGTGTCCTGTAAATATACAATATGAAAATACGATGAAATAAGCATTCCAGTTTAAAGTGATTAAAATTAAGTGGTAACAAATGGAGACTTTTTTTCTCTCAGTGCTAGAATGGCAGAATGTTTTCAGAAAGCCTAGCACAAGTTCATTCAAGGAAATCTTCATTATGGCTTCAGTGAAGCATAAGAGGCAGGGGTTCGCTTTTTATTTCCACTTCAAGAGTGTCAGGTTATTGCTCCATTTTGTGCACATTGCTCAACAACAGGGCAGAGCTTTTCTCCTGCTTTGTTTTTTGTATTCTAAGTACAGCATGGCCAGAGCTGCTGATTACAACTAGTAGGATCAAGAGAAGAGCTGCTCGAGACCGCTTGTGACAAGAGCTTTTTGAGATTTAACCACAAGGTGTCACTGTTGATATGGTGAGCTTCATAGAGGTGCCATTAATGAGTTCTTTTGACTCTTGCAAAAAAAAAACACACTAATAATGTTTCACACTGTTTCAGGAGAGGAAATCTGTTTTATACATTATGTAGTTTGAGATTTTAAAGATACAATTTGTAAAATGGTAAATTATTTTATAGATAAAACTATTACAAAATATGTTTGAATATTATCAATGAAACTTACAAAAGATTATTGGGAAAAATAGACTGTGGCTTCAAATCAGTTTGGACCATTACATCAGTGACACCCTCTGTACTGAAATGACAAGTCTACTGTATGATCACAGACCTATCTGACTGTGCTTGTGCTGTGTTCTCTCCATGGAGAGATAACATGCTTCTTTCATGTGTAATTTGGAGGGAAGTAGATTCCCACAGTCTGCGTTGTGCTAATAGGCAGCTCTGGGGGCTTTTCCACACCTCTATGCGTGACTGTGATTAGAGAGCAGTAAGTGTTTTCTGCAGCACAGATTACACAGAGACTTGCAGACAAGTCCCTTTCAGGACAGGGTCCTGCCCAGAGTCCCCAAAGACAGCTGAAAAACAGCTCTGAGGGCTTTTTTTAGGATCCTCATGAATGCTTCCGATTTCTTGGGACAGAGAAAGGAAAGGCACTTCTTTACATCAACAGCTGGAGGAGTCTGGAATCAGCTCCCTAGCCACGTGCTTGCAGCTGGCTCTGTGGGATCCTTGAAGAATCCTTTCATGAGATTCTCGGTTCGCTAAGCTACTAAAGGGCCTTGTCAGGTTTACGATGTTACAATTTCACGGGTGCTCCAACACACTTGACTTCGTCTGCTCTTTTGTCATGTCGTACCACAGTAAAGTTTTTTGAGTGCTAGGTTTAATGACGGACACTTGTCTTTCATGACCAAGAACAGAGAGAGAGAGAGGGAGAGAGAGAGAGGTGCGCACTGGATGAAAGATCACTGATAGAAGGACAGGAAGAGGCAGACAGGAGTATAAGTGTCCTCCCTCCCAGGTGATCACTTCAGGAATCAGTGCTCAGTAACCCTTGAAAAGAAATCCCAGCTAATTTTTAAAATATTAAAAAAAAACATTTATTCAACTAAAGGACGGTGTGTGCAGTACTCATGTCTGGTACTGTAGGGGAAACCCAGAAGGAGGCAGGCTGACAGGTGGGCAGACGTAAGCAGGTAAGCAGGCAGCAAGCGAGGGTGTCCTCTTACTCAGCACGTCCACCCTGCGGTCCTGGATGCCGTCGAGACACTGTGTGACGGACTCGTCGCTGCACACGTCCAGCGCCCGGATGGTCAGGGTCTTGTTCAGAGTGTCCCCCGCCTCCTCCTCCAGCCTCCCCTTCTTCCGCAGGTCCCGCATGGTAGCGACCACTGCCACACAGGGGAACAGGGGAACAAGGGACACCCCCCACAGGTCACACTCTCATGTCTCGGCAGGAAAGTAACAGCAGGACGGAGTTCTTTTCTTTGGATGTTTAACGTGAGGGGTTTCTTTTTTCCTTTTTCGAAAATGCAACGCAACTGGAAGGGCAAACTCAGCACAGCAGACAAAATTATGAGCCACTGGGCAGTGTACTAGAAGCGTTGATTATATATTCAGCAATGCCATTCCTTCCTAAAAGGATTCCAACAACAAGGAAGGTCAGTCAGCAACCAGTCAGTTTGTTTGATGTAATTTGTAACTGCTGTGTGTGATTAAGTCATTGTTGGAAAAGGTCTGAATAAAACCCGCTGTTCTGTCATCCGGGAAAATTTAAAGCGCTGTAGAGGACTGTCTGTGCCGCACTGTGTGTGCCTGTGGTTTGTGGCTACTGATCATCCTGAGCTTCACCAGGAAGGCTGGGTCACATGTTCCCTGAGGTGCTGCAGGGGTCTTGAACAGTGGGCAGATCAAAGCTGACTGGAGCAAGATGCCCACTAAGACCACCGCCCCCCCCGGTAGGGTTACAGCATCACTGTGTGGAACAAGCTGCTCAGCCATGCTGTTTGAGTATTTCAGGGAAACATCTGAGAGGAAGCCCTTGAATCAATCAGCCAGTCCCCTCTGTCCCAGTTAGATGCACAGAGTCTTCTCCCCTTGTTTTCTGCTCTTATGGTCTAATTTTGTATGCCCTTCAGTTTTTTCGGGGGGGAGGGGTTAGTTATTGAAAATGTCTTGGATTTTCTTTGGCTATTTTTTTCCATTGCTTTGTTTATTCAGCGTTTTTTATGTAAAGACCTTTTGTCTCTTTCTCCAACTGCGTTTTATGCACAGCAGTAAAATCTGAAGTGACAACTGCAGCCAAAGGGGCAGCTCAGACGCTTGTCAGTTGCATAATGACGAGCTTCTTAATTGCTTGTTATGCCAATATGAGCCAGAATGTTGTGGCCTGTCTTTCTCTTTTGGTATGGGACCAGAGACGAGCGGAGTTTAATGGTGTCAAGGACTGTTGAAATGCAAAAGGCTGGTGCTCCGCATGGTTTGGAAATGCCTTTGTCTCGGATAAATGCACCTACGTCAACAGGATACTTATATATTCACCCGGCAAGCTCTGGCATTGGATTCCTCAAGGCTGCAGTGCTTTTGTAAGGGGTTTGATGCAGGTCCTAAAATAGCCATTTATAATGTTTGACATATTTAAAAAAAAATATTGCATAATGAATTTACCCAACCAGTTCTCTGCTAAGGAGTGAGAAACGTTAGCAACTGATGAAGATGACTACTGTCTTTAACCTTATTTCCCCCCTCATTTTGTGAAGCCATTGTTTATTTTCTCAGATATAAGCTGGAAATTAAAAACTTTGCCTTTTGACATGCACTAGCACAAGTGAGTTCCTCTGAGGTTTCTCATCTTAAAGAAAAACAAAACTGCTAATTGCGTTTCCATACATAAAGCTTGGAATCATTTAGGCTCATGCTGTGCTGGTCCTTAACCTTGCAGAGCTCAGGCCAGCAGAGCCTGAATGCTGTTGGACTGTAGTGGTTTCTCCTCGCATGCCTCCAGCTTGTTCCTGGCCTGAGAGGTTACTCTTTAAGCCTCGTCTGACCTTTCAGAGACCTTGTGAAAGCCCAAATCTGGGAACAGCAACTTCCCCCAAAGGATCTGTTCGGGCAGAGCTGGCATCCGCAGGGATGCCAAGCTCCCGGCTGAATCTGGAGCCAAGGAGTTAGGGCTGAGTGAAACTCTACCGCAGGAAGAGGTTTTGGAGCTTGCAAGCGATTACAGAATTGAATTAAGTAAAAAAAAATCAACATTGCTGAACTTTTGACAATTGTATATTTCACTTTGCCCATTTAGGGAAATGTGGGCATGGCTTGAGCGGCTTGCAAATGAGTAGCTTCTGTCACTATAACATGCTTACACTGTTACATGCTTAAACTTTTCAGTGGTTCCTGCAAACCCATTTGATGAGCTGCTGTAGTGCTGCAGGCATTGAACCTCCTTCCCTGTAAGGGTCATCCTTCTGAAGCACATGGGGGGTGCGCACTGGCCTCAAATCTTATAGCAAGCTTCTCCAAATGAGCCTGTTGATAACAGTGTTGTAAGTAAAACTTGTAAACACTTACAGTAGTGTTTTCAAATGTGACTCAGAAGTACAACTAAAATGCTTGAAAGACTATACCAGTCCCTGCCACTGTGGGGATCTTCAGTTTGTCTAACCCATCTTCCCTTAACATGGGAAAAGTCCACTTTCTTTATGAAAGCTCTGCACAAGTTACCACTGCATTTGTATAGGAGAGTGCTTTGCCCACTTTTAAAATATTTTTAACCACTGTCAATGCATTTTTACAACAAAGGTGTCTGGCTTCACTGCCGTTTTATGAGAGCAAGCTCTTGTAGCTGTTGAGCATGATGTACAGTATACAGTCAGTCAAGGTGACTCCATTGTCTCCTGCAGTTTAACTGGTGCACTAATTCCTTGTTGCTCCACCTAATCTGCTGTGATTTTAATCCTCTGACACATAATAGGCTACAGAGAGCTACTCAGACAGGCAGGTTTACTCTTACATGAAAAACACATTGGAATTCATCCAGGTACAAGCAAGACATCTTAACCTAATCTTTTAGGTTGACTTGTAAGGCATACAGGTAGAATGCTGGTGCAGTGGTGAGCATTGCTGCCTTGCGGTGCTGCGGCCCCGGGTTCAGTTTCGGACCACCTGAGGCGCTACCAATGTGCAGTTTACATATTCTTCCCGTGCTCGTGTAGGTTTCCTCTGGGTGCTCTAGTTTTCTCCCACAGTCCAAAGACACCATGTTGGGTGGATTGGCTCCTGGGGAAATCCTGCTCTAAGCCCATCGCTTCCTGGGACGGGTTCCGGCTCCCCTGTGACCCTGTACTGGATAAAGCTGCTAGAAAATGGATGGATGTAAGGCGCTTCTTTTCTTAAGGTTGAGGCTTCATTCGTTTGTATGTTTTTGCTTTGCCTTTTCCACATTGCTACCTCTACCTGGCCTTACCTGGCCCCTGCTATCTCTGCAGCATTTCCTGGTATTCTTCTGCCAGCGCCCTGAATCTGAGAGCACAAACTCAACGGCCCGTTCCTGCAGCTCAGTTCTCGCCGGACTGGCCTGCACAAGGGGGTGTTGCAGTCTGTCCTCCCGCTGACACAGAGGCGTACAGCGCACAGCCCCCCCGGCCCCAGATTACCCTCCCCGCTAATCGGCTTCACTTCAAACGTGTTTTCAGCACGCTCCCGGCCAGATCCGCTAGAGCTCCCATCAATTAGTGTTCTCCGGTAAGCCCAGAATTAATCCATCTCATTTTAAGCGTTTTTTTAATATTGATTTTTTTTCTATGCTGCCTTTCAAGAGTGACTGTAGCCCTCGCAAAGAGCCACAGCTGGGGGAAGAAGATTGTTTCTCAGGCCTTTGTAAAACAAATTAGTTGTGAATTTAAGTTTAAAAACTGCAGGTGGTAATTCTCACCATGTATGCCAAGAGCAAGGGTTGAAGATTCCAGACAGTCGAGACCCGTATCCGAACCTATTTTTCACCAAAAGCCTTTTCTTCTTGTCATAAAAATTAAGAATAATTCCCTACACTTATATAGAGATTTTCTGGTCACTCTACTCCACTTCTGGTAATGGGGACCCCCCTCCACCACCACCCGTGTGTCGCCCCCACCTGGATGATGTGCCAGTACGCTCTTCACAAACCAGCTATCAGTGTTGAGGAGAACAGAGTAATGAAGCCAATGCAGAGATGGGAATTATTTAAAAAAAAAACATGATTGGTAAAGGGCGGGGGGGTATTTGGCCAGGACACTGGGGGTAACACCCCTGCTCTTTTACAAAACACCTTTGGATTTTTAATGACCACAGAGAAGCAGGACCTCAATTTTGAGTCTTATCTGAAGGACAGCACCTTTTTTATAGTATACATTTTATAGTTTCCCCCATCACTACACTGGGGCATTAGGACCGACACAGACCACAGTGTGAGCGCCCCCTGCTGGTCCTGCTTACACCTTGTCCGGCAACAACCTTAGCTCTCCCAGGAGGTTTCCCATCCGAAGAAGGCTCCACGGCCTAGACGCGTTTCTCTTCTTCTCTTTTCAGCAGGAATAACCCTTCACTTGTTCCTTTGCAGCCTCTGCATGCCGACACAGCTCCCTACTTGAACTACTTCGGCATGTATAGTACCTGCAGGCATCTTCTCGTCTGGACACATTCATCAAGACGGAGTGCGACGGCCGTACTCTCACACTGGCAGACCTGCTAACCGTCCTTCCCAGTCCCCAAAGAGAGAGAGCACACACGGGCCAGATGGCAGCCCTTCTAATTCGCTCCTCTTTGTTTAATGGACTTGAAAAGGCTTATGGTTCTATAATAAGACACGTCTCCCCTTTTAAGTTGCGTAGTCCAGTTTTTTATAGCTCACAGCGGCTCACTGAAGAGAGAAAATAAACTCCCTTGTCAGAGCGGTGCTTTCAGTCTCCATGCAATTACAGCACAAGCTGCTTAAGCTCTCCTGCCAGATACAGGCCTTCCTGTGACTGTTATTACAGACTTTACCCCTTTTGTGTGGGATGCAGTGTCTTTTATAACTTGATCGCCCAACCTAATCTGGGATAAAGGGAAGGTCCTCTTCTTGTGGAATAGTCCCCCTGGGTGACAGGTGAAGCCCTGTGGGTGACCGGGGGGCATCTCATCTGGCCTTCGAATCCCACAGGCTCAATCGCAGTCAGGTGTCCAATCCACGAATCTGCTCTGTGGCACAACCTGCGCTGATGGCAGATGAGGTCAGTATGTGGAAACTCTTTTCATTTGGCTACCTGCTACAGTGTGGACACACAACCCTAACTTAATATTCCCTAACTGGGAATGCTTTGGAACCCATGTGCAACCAAACCCAGAAGACACAGTGTCCCCTGGGGACCCAGCATACCCCGCACCTCCTCAAGTGGTCCCCGTGCTCCCTGTGACCCTTGGGACGCCATACCTGCCCGAGAGGTACCCGTGTTGCCCAGCTGTGAGCAGTAAAAGAACACCTGAGCACAGCAGCCCCAGCTTTCCTTCCTCACGGTGTCCACCGGAATGGCACAGGAACACCTCCTCAGAGTGCATTTCAATATTCGGAGACTGCTGCTGACTTTTCCATTAGTCCTAAACATCCCCCGAAATCCAGCTGCAATCCTAATTTTACAGCTGCCTGCTCCCGGGGTGTCCAAGCAGTCTCTGTACAGTACCTGTAACCCTAACCCTGCTCTTCACCTGCAGTGATGTCGCGCTGAGATGCATGCTGGTCCTCTGGTCTGACCCAGCGACGGGCACTGAGGTCGATAGGTGTGGGGAATTTAGGGAATTTTTGCCCCCCGAGCAGAGTTTGGGAGGTCCATACTCCCCTCCCCTCCCTTCAGTTTAGAAGAAATAGAAAAATCAGGAGCTTCCTTAATTACACGTTCTTACGGGTCACGTGATCTAGAACCGGCTGTAGCGTTATAAAGTTGGATAATGTGGACGGGCGCTGTTTGAAGTCCCCAGTGGGCTGAAGAAGCTTCCCCACAATTAGAATCGAGCTTGACGCTGACCCCAGCTGATAAATGTGTATCTCGAACACGTTCATCCTCATCCCTCCTCAGAAAGAGAAATAAAACCGTGACCCCTGTGTTCAGCGTGAAGCGCTGCAGGTGAATGTTTGTGAACTCTTTTCAAGCAGGAACATGGCGTTGTTCTAAACACCATCTACTTTCAGCTCCGGTAAGCTCGTGTCCTGCGGTCAGCTCCCAAGATACCTGCTTTTATAACTTGATTTTGTTTCATAACGTGTTTGGAGAACATTTTAAAAATGCTTTATTTCCCTAAAGCTCCACTGCCTTTAGTGCTCAGGAGGAATAATCGATACATTGGTTACTTTCCCTTGGAGTTCACTGCGGCTTCACGAAGCGTGTGACCCCTGGCGGTGTCCGGCCATGACGGGGTCGGCTCGCACCATCACAGGGGCTGGGCGCGCGGGGACAGCTGCGCGACGTGTTGTCGAGTTCGTGCCATATTTGTTCACGAGGTTCGCAAAACAAGACAAAGTTCACCTGGTGTTGTTGGTGGGGGGAGGGGAAACGATCTCTGTCTCAAATGTGTGGTTTCATGGACATTAATCATGAAAACTCGCAAGTTAAAGGATGAAGGAGAGTTCTCCGAGTATCTCAACTCTGAATGACAGCTCTACGGTGACTCCAGTTTATCGGTCACGTTTTTCTTCAGGGTCCACGTCTCTCTAATTGACGACATTCGTGTATACACGCTTTACTCCGCTTGCGATCCTTGTACCTGACTGATAACGGGAGTCCTCCTCGCCGTGATTATCTTGTCTGGTCCGTTTACATAACCCTGCTCTACTTTCACCCTTTCACTGCGCTCGGACCTAAACTGCGCCGAGTTTCTACCGCGGCAATCATTTGCAAAGGGGTGTATTCTTTTTGTGAGCCCCTTTTGTACAGCGCAACTACTTTCTACCCCGGGTCCCAGTGGAGATTTCAGAAGCGCCCTGGTACCGGTGCCGGTGTCCTCGTCTAGGCAGGGCCCTGACCGCGCGCGCGGGCGGGGCTCAGTCGGCCGCGGCGCCGCGCGACAAGAGGGACCCCTGCGAACTGGCGGGGCTTCTCTTTCTTGTGCGCTCTCCGCTCTGGCACGCAGTGTTTCGGAAGCGCCGCTCATTCAGATGGTCATTCCTGCCACCGCAGGACAAGTCTGGCAGAAAAGCGGAAAAGTAGGAGCCGGCTGTGGACCCGCACGGTCCACTGTCCCGGCTTCGCACCTGGATAACTGTAACCTTTCGGTTTCATTTGAATAGGAAGAACAGCACCTGTATGCGAGACTGGTATAAGTCGGTATAGTGACCACGAAGATAAAGGAGGTGGGGGGGCAGCGAAGTAAAAAAACGTGCTTACCATAGTAACGCTTCTTAGCGTCTTGGGCCAGGAGCACCGCTAGCCGCAAACCGATCCCGGAGGAGCAGCCGGTGATCAGCACGACTCTCTGTCCGCCGCTGGCCATGGCTACTTCTGCTCTCGTTCTGCAGGGCGTCCGCCCCGCTGTGCGCTGGCTAGGAGCACTGAGGAGGATCAGGGACCTCTCGGAGCGGGCGGTGCGGTCACATGGCCGCTCGGATCAGCCCCGGTGACTTCACCTCGTGCGCTCGGGGCTGCTGGAGGGGGGGCTGGTATTGATGGCGTCTGCCCCCCTCCGGGCAGCTGTTCTTATCGTGGGTCTCAGTTTCTCAGTATCAGGGACACTTGTGAGTTATGGATCAAATAAGCAATAAATCGGTTCAATTTAGAATGAAAATCCAAGTTCCCAATCCTTAAGGGCAATTTTAACCAAAAGGCTTAATACACACTATGGGTCCGGATGACATGATTCTAAGTCTGTTAGCTGTTGGCGACGCAAGAATGCTGCTGGACAGAGATGCTGACTGGGATGAAGGAACAAGAAGTTCCTGACACATCCTCAGGGCTCGGACAGTGGCGTGCTCAGGCGGAGAGCGAAGACCAGCAGGAGATCTGAAGATCACCGTAACCCCAATCGGTGAAACGCCTAGTTGTCTGAGCTAATGAATTGATCAGCTGATCAATGTGTTCACTAACGGCTGGTCTGAAAAAAGACGAGACCATACTGTCGCCACGTGGGGCCTGGGCTGGGCTCTGTGTTCATTTGTACTTTAACCGATTCAAGCAATACTGTTATCTGTGTAGACACATTTATTAAACCCACTGCCTGAAGAGACGCCGAGGCATTGCTTACAATGCAGCGTGCGCAGAATTTCAGGCATTTAAGCCTGAGTGCATTCAGGATAACCTGCTTAATTTATAAGGGAAGACTAAATTCAAGAGTTACAGTTTCTAGGTGATAAACTATCAAACCAGAAACAACAAAAAGACTGTAGCTATTTAAAACATTCATGTGGTCTGCATTATTCACTTTTCCATTTGATTTTATGTGCTTATTGAATTATGAATATTAACTTAGTGCGTCGCTAGAATGTCGGTTATGTAATTCTGGTTAGCCGCATTATCTCTAGGCTCAAGGATTCGTAGTGCGCTTAATCGACACCAAGACGAAATGAAAGACTCTGCCTCCTCCTAGTGGTGGCATATAGGTATTGCAAATAGAGATAATGACGAAGGTTATTAGAAAAATAATTTGTCAAATGGTTTTTACACGGTGAAATGAGTCTGATTCCATGTGGTTTAGTAACCACTGATACTGAGTAAACTTTAGAGTTATGAGCACCTGTTAGCAAACGTTTGTAGATAATACAAAAAATATGTTCCTAAAATATCCATCTATTCATTTTCTAACCAATACTTCCAGTTCAGAGTCATGGGGGAGATGGAACCTATGCCAGCAAGCAACAGGCGCAAGGCAGGGTTCACCCTGGATGGGAGGCCCACACTTTGCAGACACAGACACACCAGGGCCAGTTCTCCCAGAAGCCAGTCAGCATGCCTGCAGGTCTCCGGACTGTAGGTCCAGAACTGAACCGGGTCCAGGGCCCGGCACTGCGAGGCGGCAGTGCTTACCTCTGTGCCACCGTGCTACCGTTCCTGAAATGGCTTAAATAACATCCTCACGAAGCATGGATTAATACAGCGCTTTTACAAACCCCGTTCCGTGTTAAAGAGCCAGTTGTGACCCGCAGGTGGCGTTCAGTGCTCCTGCAGCGAGGACTGTGCCTCCTGGCCTGTGCGGCTCAGACTCGGAGCGATGTGGCTGCGCAGGGCAAAGCAGAGGAAACCCGAGCTTCAGCCCTGAGACGTGCGACTGCAGCACACGGCCCGTGGGCGCTCCCCGCCCCCCTCCGGCCCCCATCTCCTCCGGTGGAGTCCAAGTTGGTATGAGTGCAGGTCAGAGGTCAGGGTCCAAGTGCTGAGCCTGTCTGGGCTACCCTGAGAGAGGAGATAAGATCGCTGGGCAGCGCTGAGGCCGCAGGCCAGTGGGGGGTGGGGGTGTGTGTGTGTGTCGGGGGGGGCTCGTGCCTCAGCACTGGTCATCTCGTGCTCAGACCTGCCTGTAGTGCTCAACACAAGGTCAAGCCCTGCCCTTATAGCACCCCAGCCCCGCCGTCACTTTTATTGCCCCTCTGAAGCCCTGTGAACTACGACTCCTTTTGCGCGTGCTCTAAGCCCTGGTCACCACATCGCAAGGCCTGGCACGCTTCCCAGTCACGGGTCACTCTTTCCAGATTCTCTGCATTTGTTCTGGGTGACTTTTTCAGCTTTTTCAGTCTGGGACATTCTCCTGCACAAAGCAGGTTACGACAGACTTGATTGCAATGACCTTATCTTAATTAATTATCAAATAAATAGAATATCCATTAAAGTTGAATTGCAGTTGTGTTGCTGAAAAGCCCCCCGTCTCTCTTGGTATACTTATGTGTGCAAAATAATAATTATCTGCGCTGTTGGAGTACTGCCAGGAAATATATTCTCGCCACAATATGGCTACAAATTACGACCATAGCCAATTTCAGACAAGCTGGAACATAGTGGCTTATAGCCCAGCTATTTGAAATGTATCAGTGTAAGTCTGTCTGAAATTAAAGGCATGCTGTGCTTGAATGCACTGCAGTTTAAATCCAGTCAGAGCTGTTCACAGCATGGATGTATTAGGGATATACTTGCACATGGGCTATGGGTTGCCATCCTGTCCCCCTGGCAATGGCTGTGTGTTTTGCATTTTAAAATGTATCTTTAACTTGTTTGCAGCATGACAGTAAAAAAACAACTGCTCTTTTCCTGTACTTTGAGTTTGTCAGATAGCCCTGTTAGAAAGGTGACCTTGCCAGCACGTCCTCTTTCCCCATTAGAATCGGTATGAACAGCTTGTTCTGTGCGGGTCGACAGAGGAGAAGAATCATTCTGGTTTGAGTTACCTTCTTAACTTTGAACTTTGAGTCTGTACCAAGAGGCATTCTAAACGCCACACATACTGTAGTTATGGGAACTGTTAGCATTTCTTGCATTTTTAATGCCTCACAGTACATGTTCCTGAAAAAGAATGAATAAGCCCGATTCCTACTCGTGTTAGCTTGGCCCGGATGACTTTTGTAGACCTGTCTTTTTTAATGCGCTTGGGTGCTCTCGAGACCAGCCTGGAGTTGTGCAGCCCTGGGTTAAACTGTCCAACTGACTGGCTTGTCGGAGAGCCCTCCCTGCAGTAGCTGCTCTGACACGGACTAGGGGAAAAACTTTAAAAGCACCGTGACCTCCCATCTGATCGATAGGACTTTTCCAGCTCCTTTAAAACCTCCCCTGCTAGCCTGATGGGGTTTTTTTTGGAGGTAGGGGGGTGCTGCACCAGAAAGGAATGCCATGAATTAAACCTGAGAGCCCCTTCAATGAGCGTTCCTGGGGAAAAAAGCCGTTTTTATTGCTTTTGTGAGGGGTTTCAAGGAGCGAGTGTGGCAGGGTCTCCCCGGGGTGTCGGTTTATCAATTTGGAGTATGCCTGGAATCTGTTGCCTTTGTGGAGAAAGGTCAGGCGCTCCAGAACAGGTTGATGGAGTGGACAGTGAACACAATTTTAGCCTTGCTGTGAAGCCGAAGCGGACTCGCACAGGGGGGAGAAAGAGAGGGAGGGGGCAGAGGGAGAACTCTCCCTGTCGTGGTGTGCAAGCACAGCGCCCTGCATTTCAATATGACCGGGACGTGTGAAGACCTGAACTAAGGGTCTGGCGTTTCATGAAACATCATGCAAGTCTAGGAACAGTGCGGGAATCCCATTCTCCGTGCAGAATTTCCCTGTACATTTTGCAGATTACGTGCCGTAGGAAATTTGCGCTTTCTAGGACAGTGTTTGTGGGTCAGGATCAGGGGGCACCCGCTGTTCCATTGGTGTCGGGAGTATCTTCAGAGATGCCTAGGAGGATGAATAATTTTGTTTACAGTCTGAAACCGCAGGAGGGAAAAGCATCTGGTGCGATGAATAGCCATTGTTTTAAAAAAATGTCTGGCTTTACATTCGGAGAATGAGTGGAAGGGAAGTGGCAGGGCTCCCAATTTGTCCTCTTCATATCCTTGTGATGCTTGCCGGGGGATGCAGAGTCACTGTTTTTCATTATGGCCTGTATGCATTTTGGAGTCTGGGCTGGTCCTGATCTAAAAAGAATAGGAAAAGGTCCTACTCAGACTACTCCTGAATTCTCTCCACGGCAAGCACACTGACAAGCGCCTCTACTTCAAAAATAATTCGATCTTCTCAATGGCATGGATTTGGAGCCTCGTTGACAGGTCCTCGTTCTTCTCCTTCAGCTTGGGAGTCGGTGCCGAAAGCCCCAGAGTTGAACAGATGGTGATTCTTAAATTGGTGGGGTATACGATTGCAGGGTAATGAACGGTTCTAATTATTTTTATGCCCTGCACCTTTCCAGCTTGGAATGGCTGGCTGGCTGCTTTGAGACCAGGCTCTCCAGCAATGACTCCTGTGCCCAGTTCAGGAGAGAAGGAGGGTGGACCAGCTGCCCGCACAGGTCTCCTGACACACTGGTAGCTCTAGAGTGCCTAACTGGACAGTTGGCGCTGCCTTTCCCACTGACTCCCCTGCAAGAGGAGATGCCGCTTTAATGTAAGGCCTGGAGATCCCTGGCCAGCTCATCCCAAATCCCTGCTGGAGCTCTGGCAGCTGTGCACCGACGCTGGGGGAATCCCAGTTAGAGTTGGCTAGTGACGTGACCCAGGCCCAAACCCGGCAGCGCCTGCACTCTGAGCTCTGGGACTGGATCAGCCACTCAGGAGGCCCAGTAATTCTTCCTTTAAAAAAAAAGTGTGGAGATTTTTGGAGTGGAACACAAGTGTGATCTCTTGCCAACGGTGCTGCAGCTAAGTCACCGGCTGTTGCTCCGCTAAAATGGGGAAAGGCAAGCAAGCTGAAGCAGAAGAATATTGACGTCAGAGAGTGCTTTTTATCCAGATGTCTTTTCCACATTGCTGCGTGTGGCACAGGGCAGGGCCCGGCGAGGTGTGCTCTGGGAAGAGGGCAGCTGAGTGGGAAGATGGAAAAAGGGAGAGACAGAGGCAGCCTTTGTCTGGGAAGATTTTCAACAGCCGTTTCCTGCAGAACATTGAGAGACATCGGGGAGAATAATCCCTTTGTTTGCAAAGAGCTTCTTGGAGCGCAGTGTGTGTGTTTGTGTGT